CAGCATCTGCAGTTCCTACTATCTCTGATTCAATTTTAACCCCACTGCGAAGCCTCTTCTAAGGATGCCTAGCCTGAAGAAGTTACCCTCCTACCTCCGGACAAACCTCAAGGGATCTCTCTCCCACTGCAACTCTCTCCGCCTCCCACTCTCTCCCTATTTATTTCAGAATCCCCTTCCCCTCCCCCTTTCCTGATGAAGGGTCTAGGCCTGAAACGTCAGCCTCTCTGCTCCTATGATGCTGCTTGGCCTGCTGTGTTCATCCAGCTCTGCACTTTGTTGTCTTAGATGCATCATGATCAAGAATATCACTTATGTGGAAAACAAATAAGACTGTTTCTCTGTAATCCCCTTGTATGGTGCCTGCTGACAGTGCTGATTCAGAGCTCACTTTTCAACAGTATGTGACCTTGCAAACTTCTTCATTAATCTTCCAGTGCCACAGTTTTAGCAGCTTCTGGGTATAAAATCCATCATGCCACTCAAAGGAAAGTTTTCCACATGCCTTCTTGACCACCTTGTCTTGCTGACCTGTAACTTTCAGCGAGTAATAGATATAAACTCCGGGCCTTCTTTGTTCTTTTACACTTTTCTGAATCTTGCCATTTATTATGTATGTCCTGGTCTTGTCATTTCCAAGTTTTTTACTTCATACTTCTGTCGATTACATTTCATTTGCTTCTTTTCTGCTTGAAATGTTTACAAAACATTTACAAGATCTTTAGTAGTACAGAAGATCAACAGAATCGTGGTGTGCATGTCCATAGATTCTTAAAGGCAACAGGACAGGTGGAGAGAGATAGTAGGAACTGCAGATGCTGGAGAATCCGAGACAACAAGGTGCAGAGCTGGATGAACACAGCAGGCCAAGCAGCATCATAGGAGCAGAAAGGCTGACGTTTCAGGCCTAGACCAGAGGCTGGTTAAGAAGGCATGTGCAATACTTGCCTTTATTAGACAAGGTATACTGCAGAATTCAAGAATTTGGAGGTTATGACGGAGGTCATTAATAGTTAGGCCATAGCTGGCATACTATATGTAGTTCTGGCACCACACTATAGGAGAGATGTGATTGCACTAGAGAGGTTGCAGAGGAAGCTCACCAGGACTTTGTCTGGGCTGGACTATGTGGGGAGAGATTATATCAGCCCGGTCTTTTTTCCTCAGACCTGAGGAGGCTGAGGGAGCGCTAACTGAGGTGTACAAAACGATGAAGGGGACAGTCAGGATCTTTTCCCCTTCAGTGAGAGATCAATTAATAGGGGGTGTAGATTTAAGGTAAAGGGCAAGAGGTACAGAGATAATTTAAGGAGGAACCTTTTCACACAGAGGGTGCTTGGTATTTTGGACTCACTGCCTGAAAGGATGAGATTACAACCTTTAAGTACTATTTAGGTGATCATTTAAAGCATCTTGGCATCTAAGGGCATGGACAAAATGCTGGGAAATGGGATTAGAGTAGACAGGTACTTCATGTGAACGCAATGGGCCAAAGTTTTATAAAGTTGTAAGAAGTCTTCCTTGCTCCTATATTCTGCACCCTGGCTAATGAAGGCAAGCATCCTGAATGCCTTCCTCACCATCCTGTCTATCTGTGCTGATACCTTTAGGGGCCTATGGACTTATACACCAAGGTCCCGCTGCTAAAATGCATTGCCTCACACTTATTGGGATTAAATTCTATCTGCCATTCCTCTGCCCAGTTTACCAACTGATCAATATCGGACTGTAGCATCAGACCATCCTCTTCCCTATCAACAGAACCACAAATGTTCGTGTCATCTGAAAGCTTACTAATTATACCTTCTACCTTCAACTTGAAAATAAAGACAAGCCAACTTTTCAAACAGATCTCAGGTTCTTTTTAATTTACATTTAACAAAAAGAGATAAACATAGGTGCAAACTATACAAGGCAAAGTAAAATAACAATGATTTACATTTAACGTCATGTACTTTTGGACCGGAACTAAGTAATGTTCAAGTATTGAGGAGAAAAAAGCTAAAAAAAAATGTGTCAGGTACCTCCATTTGACAACAGCTTTTTGCAAAAAAAAAAGACTAATGGGCAATATGTTTTAAAACGGGAAAGTTCCAACTCTTAGTGTCTTTCTCACTCTCTCTGAACTTCATTCTCATTGCTGCTGACTGTTTTGAGTAAGTGGCACTATCTTACTGCATAAAGAAAGGGACTACGATAAACCACAGCAAGCGATGTTGCAGTGACTCCCTGCATGACTGATTTCCCACGTCGAGGGAAACAAACTCATCCTGAAACCTGCTGCTGGTACACAGTCACCAATTATATCCACATGTGCCCAGAAGCAGGCACTGCAAACAGTGTGTATTAAGTGCAGCCTCTTGAAGCTATACTTGTACATAAATGTGGCCAGGAGACACCTCAACTGCCAAGCCGGTACTGCCGATAACCTGAAGCAGCTAGAGAAGGAACCAGCAGCCGTTGACCATTACCAAAACCAGCAGTTTGGCAGTGAATGCAGCAGGCGGCTGGGTCTGAGTTGTGACATCAGTGGAGCCCAAGATGGCGTTAACTGATAGTTTGCTTGGGCCTACTCCTGGTCTTGGCTCTAGTGGAGATTTTCTAGCCTTTTTGAGACTTTCCTCCTAGCTTTGACTGAATTGGAAGATGAGTAGTGGAGAAAGTCCAAACAAAAATGAAAAGAGTCAAGTTCCATGATCCAATAGTTGGAATTCCGCCAAATGGCAGAAATATCTCTTTCCCATGGGGCTGCTATTGACTCTTTCTTGGTAGTGGACTGAGATAAAATCAATGCTGTTAGCCTTGTAAAAACAGCTTTTGGGTTTATTCTCACAGCAGAGAATTTTTGCTCCCAGATATCCTAGGATGGATTCATATCATATGACCAGATTATCCATGAGCTGGGATTCTGCCTATTCAGATTACAATTGAACCTTCCTTTACAGGTCCCCGTTATCTAAGAAGAGGGCTCAAGAATAATAGTAGCACTCTCCATTGTGTTATTTCTGTTCGGAATGAAGTATACAGACAGCTGTTTATCTTTTGAACAACAGGAACTATGTCAGAAGGAATGTCTGAAATAAACCCAATTTCATACCTTGTGGCACCAAGAATTTTACATCTTTGGATGTTTTACTGCCTGAAGGGGACTTGAATGTCACCAAAGAGAAAATAATACCAGAGCAACCTTTGACTGATCACCCAATTTTCCCCATTTTAATCCCCTTAACCCTATACCTTTCCCACCTGGTGGAGTGGAGTTTAAAAAATTAACAGCAGAGGGAGCAAATTACTTTAGTTACAAATGCTCAAAAGTTACAAATGCTGACCACGTTGTTGAGAATTTGGTATTTTTGTGACATCTATATTAAATACAACAAGAAATGGGAAAATGCATAGCCCCTAGGGTACACACCTCTTTGAAAAGAGATTGTAAAGGTGTTACGGATTTCATAATGGGGTCTGCTGTTAAACTATAAAAGAGACAATTATATTAAAAAATTTGGGCTGTATAGTAGGAAATAATGTATGGGGCTAAATTACATGGAACCCTGTGGGGAACATATTAGATTATCCTGCTCTGAATTGCAAAACACACCAAAAAAAACATCAGAGTTCAAAATAGTCAAATTCCGAATCAGAAAAGTAAATCTTTGAACAATGTTTTACCCCAACATCTTCCTTTGAAATCCAAAAGCTTTGTACATAATTTTATGATTTAATATAGAATTGGCTGATCTAATTATGTGTATTTAATTATCATTTACCACGTTACAAACCAAAGATAAAAACAGAATATTTTTATTATAAGCCACTCGCGAGTGTTATCTTTGGTAAAACTGTTTAGGTCATGAAATCTTTTTTAAAAACTCACAGATGAAATACATGGTGAGATGGCATTCCACATCATTCCAACCTCCATCACTTACAATTTCTACACAATCCTCACCTCCAAAAGCATTGTTGGGTTCTCCTGGTCTCCAATGACTGTAATCCTGGAGAGGGGTAGCATCAGTGTACATGAATTGTCTTTCCTTTTCTAGGTCATTCACCCCAATGAACACACGAGATAAACCAGTCTTGTTCACATAGGCAGCAATCAGTGTGTTTGTTTCTTCATCCTTTGGCATCGCCAGTGTTCCTCCTCTGTCTTGGCAGTGCACAAGCGCAGCATTGTAATTCTTCCCTTCTTTCACAATTAGGTAAAATTTCTCTGCTGTCTCTTTAATACCTGCTATTACTGTAGAGAATAAAGCAGAGAATTCAATTTGCTTTGTAACAGGGGCCAGTAGTTGTGATTGCTTTGTTTCCATAGTTGGCAAGTTCACAGAAGAACCAGAGGGAAGAATAAATTAATTAGGCAGCAAGTTATGATGATCTGGAAAGCATTGTTGGAAAGGTTCGTGGAAATCGATTCAAGAGTAACTTTCAATGCTGTTTGTGCTACCTTTGCACAATTACTTGCTGCATTTCTTTATAATGCAAAATACCCACGCTTTAAAAATATTTAGTGGCTGTGACTCAGAATGCACTGTGCTGCAAAGGGCTAAGTAAATCCCTGTTTATTCTTTTTTCTCACCCTTACTTGAAAAATGATATTTTCCCCCCTCAGGTTTTCCACTACAACCTTCCAACATCACAATACTTCATTAATTTACAATAGTAAATATTTTGGATGAGAGATGTAATCATGTATATTGATAGTACTTCTTAATAACTGGCTAAATTGCCTCTCTGCAGGTTAGTTTCAACTGAATTGATGCAATGGGTTTTTCCACCTGTCACTTACAAGGAATGTGAAGAAGGTCCAGTAAAAAAAACTAAATTACATCATCTTGTCTGCCTCAGGTGATTTAACCTCTGTGTCTGTCAAACATGCTTTTTCAATCCATTTGATTGTGACCCCTTAATGTATATTGGCATGAGCAATGCAAATTTGCATGGGAAACAAGTTAAAACTAGCAATGTTTCAGAGATAGTAGGAACTGCAGATGCTGGAGAATCTGAGATTACAAGGTGTAGAGCTGGATGAACACAGCAGGCCAAGCAGCATCAGAGGAGCAGGAAGGCTGACGTTTCGGGCCTAGACCCTTCTTCAGAAAGATCCTTGGTAACACTGCTCAGTGACAGCAATTTTTTTTTCTAAGCCTTTGCTCATTTTCTGAAGAAGGGTCTAGGCCTGAAACGTCAGCCTTCCTGCTCCTCTGATGCTGCTTGGCCTGCTGTGTTCATCTAGCTCTACACCTTGTTATCTTAAAACTAGCAATGTTTGTTTTCTGGAAGAAAATGAGGTTTCTGCGGTGGTAGAATACAATGAATCAGAATTTGTCACAAGAATAACACTGAGGCTATTAGCACTCAGTTATTGAGAAGTAATTTGATCAGCAGCTTTCAGCAACCAGACCTACAGTTAAGTGTGGAAATCAGGATGCTGCTGACCAAGTTATCCTGCTCACGCACAGGGAATGTTTTATTGGGATCTGATTGACAGACTTGGCATTGAACTACACATAAAGTTGCTTTACTTCCATTTCATTTAATTTCATTGGAAATTATCCACTAAGCTTATCAAGAGCATTAATGTTCACTAGATTGGAAAGTCCAACGATGTGGTAAATCTTAATCATTGCCACATGATCTCTCTGGCACTGCAAATTTACATTGACAATAGAGCCTTATTCGGTCAGATGTTAATTAATATTGGAGATTTGAATGAACTAAGATGTTTTACTTTTTCCTATATAAATGCAATTGGCCTCTCCGCCCATCTTTCACTGCTAAGAAGCTAACATGACTCCATGGTATGGTCTTAGAGATTAGGGACCAAATTTTTGGAACAGGAGAGGAATGCTACTCCCTGGATCAGTTACACACCCCAACCCCATGTTGGATTAACTGACACTGCACAACGTCTATGTACAAGGCCTCTAGCTGTGCCAGAAGCAGTTCTGCTGAACTAGTACCCCATTAGGAATGGCACTTCCCCTTTATAGTCAGCTTAGCAATCACTCCTTTCAGAAGTGAGTGGGCTGTCAATGATCCCTCCACTCGCTCTCATTTGCAAACACACAGCACATCCCGGGGGCATCAGAAGATTGATGTGCCCTGTGCGAATGTGAGATTCAAAGTATCTCTGAACCTAACACTGTCACCACCGGGGATTGGAAATGCAGCCCGGGGCCATATTTCTGTATTCTTTCATGGCATGTTGGCTCGCTGCAGAGAGTTTCATCATGGATGCAGCTAGAGTTCATGCACTTGTAGTGATTGTAATCTCATAGAATATGAGTCCCCCGATTGTTAATGTGGTCTAATGAGGGAGCCCTAGCTGACAGATATAGACAGGAGTGTCAGAGACACTGACACTCTGGTACCTGACTCTGAATGAGACGGTACTAAAGTCAAGGGCCGTTCATGTGTAAATAAAAGGTGACTTGGTGACAGGGTACTGGCATCTGTGGAGTTATTTCATGCACTATTTCCTTGCTAACTGTCTGTTGGCAGTGCCAGTGTGTTTTTAGCTGCCCTCCTAAAGCTTTCCACCTCTTTACCTGTGCCGGCTCCTTTCAGAGACACCTTAAAACCTCACCCCCTTTTATTCAATCATATCAAAATCTCCTCACATGGCTCCATGCCAAATTCTGCCTGGTAATGCTGTCCTGTGAAATACTTCAGGGTGCTGTGGACAATATGTATCTGCAAGTTGCTGTTTACTGACTGAGTCAGTATTCCCAGGTAACAATCATTTCTTGCAATTAAAGGAAAAAAGGCCTTGTATTAATGGAGTGTCTTTCATACCCATAAGACGTTCTAGAACATTCCACGACCAAGGGAAGTGAACTTAATGAAGTTATACCACAGGGAACAGTTGAATTCTGAATATTTCTGAAAGTTTCTGAAGCAGGTCCCGACCGGAAACGTCAGCTTTCCTGCTCCTCTGATGCTGCCTGGCCTGCTGTGTTCATCCAGCTCCATACTGTGTTATCTCTGTTGTTTTTGTGTTGGCCCACGGCCCCTCATGGATGCACAACCTTGAATTGCTGCATCTGTTTGAAAACTATCCCATTTCGCATGGATAGTACTACACAAAACCATAGTGAGCATCCTCAAGGAGAAGATGGGACTTCGTCTCCACAATGATGGTGTAATGGTCGCTCCTACTGATACTCTAATGGACAGATGCATTTGCAGCAGGTAGATTGAGGATAATTTTTGGTATCCTTTTCCCTCTTGTTGGTTCCCTCAGCACCTGCTGCAGATGTAGTCTAGCAGCTATGTCCTTCAGGATGTGCCACTTCAGTCTATAGTGGTGCTACCAAATCACATTTGGTGATTGACTTTGCAGTCCTCCATCCAGAATACATTCTGTGCACTTGTCACCCTTAGTGTGTCCTCCAACAAGTGTGTTCAGCATAGAGGAGAATTGATTCATGAGCTTTAAGGTGGCAATCTGCAGGGGGTTTCATTGCCAACGTTTGACATGACGCCATCAGTTTTCCTGGGGTCCAGAGTAAATCTTGGGGACACCCAGAGCAAATCCCTCCTGATAGAATATTATTTTGCCATTGTCTCTTGTTAGGTCTGTGCAGTTGGTTGGGAACAGGACACACGAAGGAATGATGGTGTTGTCTGGGATATTATCTACAAGTCTGATTGCATGAGTATGACTATGTCAGGCTGTTGCTCAACTTGTCTGTGAAACAGCTTTCCTGTTTTTTGCACAAGCTCACAGGGTAGCATGGAGACTGGCTCAGTGGTTAGCATGGCTGCCTCACAATGACAGGAACCCAATCCCAGTCATGGGTGACTGTCTGTGTGGAGTTTGCACGTTTTCCCCATGTCTCCGTGGGTTTCGTCCAGGTGCTCCCATTTCATCCCACAGTCCAAACATGTCCTGGTTAGATGGATTAGCCATGGTAAAATGCTTTTGGTGTGCAGACTGGGTGAATTAGCCACAGTAAATGTGGGGTTACCGGGATAGGGGGAGGGGGGTGGGATGTTCTTTGGAGGGTCAGTACAGACTCAGGCTGAATGGCCTCTATTTACATTATAGGGATTCTGTGATGTTAGTGAGGAGGACTTTGCAGATGGCCAGGGCTTCATGTGCCATTGTTGTTTCTGGTGCCTTGGGTGGTTCTAGGTGGTTTGTTCGGTTTCATTCCCTTTACCAGACTTTGTAGCAGTTAGGTACAACTAAGAGGCTTGCTAGGCCATTCCAGAAGGCACTTAATACTCAGCCACACTTTTGTGGATTTGGAGTCATGTTAGCAAGGCCAGGTTAGGATGGCAGATTTTCCTTCTGTAAATTTCCAGATACGAAGGTTGTAATGTATCGCTGTATTCAAGTATAAATTTTGATCTAATTGAAAACCCCCTCAATTATTCTTGTTCAAAGACATAACCCAGAATATCCATTCCATGAGCAACTGCTTCAATTCAACTTAAAACTAAAATGACCTACCATTCTTTACAAAGCGCATTGTATTGTTCAAACGAGCAATGTTGATATCCATCTGTCCTACAATTTTCCGGTATCTTCCACAGTCACAGAAGCTACCTATTAAATGACCAGAAAACAGATGGAAGTGAAGTTGCCTTGGCCAGAATAAACATCCTTTGTTAGTCTGAAACTGTCTATGACTGTAGCACAAAAGGATTCACTGTTTATTTATCAGGAAATCTACAATATGGAGGAATTTTGTAATAATACATTAATAAGACCTCCAGAAGTAGATGTCAGAGGTATTTCAACTCTCAAGAATGAATTGATATGTTAGCGTTGGCCGGTTATTGCTGGCCACTAATATGCTGTTGAGATACATAAAGTAAATTTAAAGTTAATATTAGAATAGAACTGAAAACTGCTTAAAATATTAGGTGATGATGTTTAAGTTGAATATTCTGCAGTGGTTCAGAACCCAACATTTAGCAATTTGCACTGCTGTCCAGTTTCCTACCCTTAGCATGATTTTATGGGGGTTGGCCATAGTTTGCTTTCTTATAAAGTTTGCAATAATGTTCCAGATCTGCCTCATCAATAACATTCATATATTCATATTTACAGGATTGTTGACTTTCATGGATGTGCAGAAATAATTGCAGTTGTACTGATAATAACTGAATTATAGGATTATTTTTCAGGGATAGCAGCGAACAGGAAAATAATTTGACATAGAGCCTCTGGAACGAAATTCAATCCAGGCTAATGAGATCTGTACAAAAACAAAGTTGCTGGAAAAGCTCAGCAGGTCTGGCAGCATCTGTGGAGGAGAAAACAGAGTTAACATTTCGGGTCCGGTGACCCTTCCTCAGAACCTC